CAAATTATACTGAATCATTAGCACCATCATCCACATCAACTGAATCTTCACTCAACACTAATAGAGCTTACCGCACTTTTAAAAGAAAGTTCCCCAACCATCCTTTCCCAGCAAAACCAGGAACAGCCCGTGAATACATCAACCACCCCAAGCATACTAACACAAAAGAATTTTTAGCCATCACCTTACCCTCATTCCCACAATACACCTTAAACACCCCCCACGACACTAACGAAACACGCAACTTCGTAGATGAATACGTTTTAATGCCCACTCTCTCTTGGACCTCATATTATCATTTTACTAACCCTCTTTGCTTACCTTTATCTAACACTCACATCGATATAGAACGAAATACGGACATGCTATATCGACTCACTACACCACTAACCGCTAGACAATTTACTTACGTTGGATATAAAAAATCACTAAAAACACACACTGCACCTAGAGCTAACGAATATACACTCGAATACTACGATCACAACATCATCAGAGCTAACCAAGATCAATTCTTAGACGACGATCGCTTCGCTAATCCACAAATTACCGAGAAATTTTTCATCAAGACACCATATATATTCACACTAAACATCTTCGACCGAAAGTTTGATCACATTATTTCAGAAGCACTAACGGACACACAAGCGTACGAAAGTTTCAAAGAACGCTTCCAAATATTTTCACTAACCTTTCATTTCCTTGCACCACACGAAAGAGATTTAAACTGCTCACACGATATTATGTTGCGCACTAAACAAACCCACACATATAGTTATTATCGCTTCATCCAAAATCACTTTGACCTACACACACCCTCTAGACAACCACACCATCGTTTTCAATTCATTAATTCCAAATACACTTCACCATTTTTCCTAAATTTCACATATTGTATTAAAGACACTACTCTCCATGGTATTCTTCGTAATTATGACCCCATAACCCAAATGTACATCTTCTGTCCCATCACCAAGACCTTCAACGCCGAAGAATCCCGACCCTTCCTTCTCCCGCACGAGTTTGTACAACCCATAGAAATCCCAATTTTAGAATTCATCCACAACACTAAATTCAATCACAAATTATATAATCTAATCCAAAACACACCTTATGAGTTTGCAGTTGGCACTGAAGAACTAACCACTATTAAGGCACTTCAATTGCTTTGGCCACTGCTTCAAACTAAAAATATCATCCGCATCTTAGCTAAACTACTAACAACTTCAGAACTAATTCACGACATCTTCCCCCACGGTTTTTTCCCCGACGACTAACAGGTAAGTATGAATTAAATGAATATAACTAACTAATTGAAATATTAAAAAACTCACCATACTTTATTCATGTTTTCTTTAGATTTTTAGCCTTCATCCGACGATCACCTACAAAAACCACAAAAGACAAATAAAAATCGCAAATTTCATCAAACAGATTTCAAAAATTCTATTAATCTCTTACACTTATAAATTTATAAATTTAATACCAATGCAGTAAATTCATTTCTAAAATTTTCCCCACAAGCAGTAAATCTAATTATGATGAAAATTTGTAACTTAAAATTCCCCCATAACTAGCAGTAAATTTCCAAATTCTATGCAGTAAATTAATAAAATGCAATTGCAGTACTAACCTTTTGATATTCTCATTCATTCGCACAGAAATTCTATCCACACTCGCACAGCTCGCCCACGAAGAATTGTTTAAAATAATGAATTTCAGTTTCAAGTTTTCACACTCAACAACTCTAACATATAATAACATGTTTCAAACTTTCCTTTAACCCGGTTGGAAAGGAATCATATACTAAACAAAACTAACCAACGCAGCTTACTAAATACCACAAATCATAGAATAACAGCATGACTAAGAAAAGGAAACCAACGGTACCCAAACCGGATTAACCCAGTTTAAAACTGGATAATTTATTCTTTTGAAGACTATTATAAAGTCTAAGAAAGAAATAATAAAACACAAAAAAGTCGAAAGACAAACCCATACCACAAACAATTTGATTTTTGAAAAAAGGACAACCAACAAAACATAAGAAAAACCACAACAAACCCAACATAAAACGTTGTCACATAACAGGACCCCTCACAAAAACCGCATGAAATCATACTCCCACTCCTGGCCTAACCCACCAGGAAGGACGTCCTGAGCATGCTCTATAGCCGGCCTAACCCACCGCGCTACATCCACGCTTTGTGACCACACCACTATTTTTAATAAGAGCTACTCAAGTGTGAGTAACTCTTCAAAATAACCGAACTAAAACAAAAAGCTTTTGTGAAAACAACTAACTAAAATCATTATTAAAAAATATTAAACTAATAAAAGTTTTATAAAATGTAAAATCATATGATGCAATATATAGATCAGAATACAACACCAAGGACGAACATCAAAAGACAAGACGACCCCACTACACTCGAGAGAGAATGACCAACTACAATCAATATGCCGCTCACAATCACAACTCAAAGGATTTAGAGTACGACTTGACCTCGCAGAAAAGGACTTCATTGAACTAGACCAATGACCACCTCGATGACCCAAGTGTACGTACAGATCCGAGTAACCAGGCATCCCCTCCACGCACAATCTCCACGCCATTCCCAAACTAGATCATACACAAAAGAAGTTCTCCCCGAAGAACAGAAAAACCTGACATAGCCAACCATTCTGAAAGCAGAATTGATTTTGTTGCAGAGACTCAGTCGTTGTCACAAGAAGAACACAACGTCTTATATCCCTAACTCCAGCTTCCTGAAACTTCTTTAACAAAGAAGAAGCGGAAGAAAATTATGATGTTCACCAAATACCAACGTCCATCATCCATCCTTGAATTAACAGAAGAACTGTTCTAAAAAACTCTGTAAAACCCGGATGGGTGGAACCTGATCTAAACTATATTTTATGATTGGATAAATTAAATGTTTTACCAATGAAAAGTATTTAATATTAACCAATCATGATCCATCTAACTAACAATCCACTTATTTGTAAGTGCTGAAGTTACTTGTAATTTCAGCACCAGAGAGATTTGAATTTAACTTAGAAATTAGTTGGACTCTCCCGAGCACTTCAGCAACCGCAATAAACCAGTATACCCTAGATCTATTGAGCCTAGCAGAGACTAGTTAAACAACCTGAGACTAGATAGTATAAGAGTAAGATTAGGATCGGTATTAGACTAAGAAGTTGCACGAATCTATCCGGCCGAAAATAAGATAGCGTGACGAGCAGACGGTGTACCCTATCCGAAATTACTCTATGAGTTAACCAACTCGGTCCTAACTCAGATGGCCAGGATTAAATAAAAATCAAGGAGGAAACAAGTTGCCCTAAAAACCATGTAAATACGAACGAAGAGACAAGAAGAATTTAAATCTTAGGTTTTTCTCTTCATATATACAATTATTTTGTTCTGAATTCCAAATTTGTTCACAAAAAAATTTAAAAAATTCAAAACTTTTTAACTGAAACTCAGAGAAAAACTGCTTGATGATCGATGATCATCAAAATTTTGCGTATGAGAACCTGCAGAACAATTTTTCACATTGGAAAAAAAGACGGAGGGGTTTAACAGAAAATAAATTTTTGTGCGAAAAAAAAATAATTTATGGTTTCAAATGGAGCAGAGCATCCGAAGGAATATGTAGTCCAATAATCAGTTAATCAATAACTAAGCCAAAAAAAACCAAAAAAGTATCAAATAAAGTTATCATATTTTTCTATCAATGCACTAACTCGCGTTCCATCAAATTCTGTTTCTCTTAATAGTTGAAAACTTCCAAGTTAGAAAAATCAATAGGTGTTATCTGGTTAGAAATAGAAAACACTATGTCGATCTTTAGAGTTGTTATAAATGCCCATAAAAACTAGTTCTGCTTGGATTATAGCACAAAATTTTTCTAACATGCAACCTTAAAATCGGATTTGTGAGAAACCATCACTGACTGGTTTTTCTTTATAAAACACGTTCAAATCTAATACTTGAGACAATTTTTAGGGCTAATTTTGATAAGAGGGCAATTTTTTTGTGAAACTTTTCATTTGTTGGGTGCACACTTTGAGTCAAGCACTTTTTCAGATTAAATTGTAAAAACTAATTTTACTTCCATTGAACCAGGTTGCTCAACAGCAGAAAAATTAGTCTGTTGGGTGTAGGGTGTATCAAAAAATTTCCCGTTTTTCTTATTGTCTCGTCTTTCATCGTCCAAAAAACTTGAATCCGAGTGAATTAATAAAAAAATCCAAACTATCTTTCTCTTAACTGACGAATGCATGCTATTTTGATTATAACTTCGGAGGTTTAAGCGATTAAATTTCTCTGCTGGTATTTTTGGAACAAATTTTAGATCAAGTTAACATCCTCCCACCCCCTTAATAGACCAAGTTAAGATCCTCCACCCCAGACCTTAAATCAAATTAAATTTGCTAAGCGCTGCATGTAAAATGCTCGATTCTGATTGGTTGATAATTCCCAACTTAGAACCAAGTTAACATCCCCCCTAAACGTGTTTAGGGGGGAGGATGTTAACTTGGTCCCAAATTTTATCGACCACTTCTACAGTATTGTTTCAACAAAACCTGTGTTGATTTTTTTGTCTCCACTTCGTGTGTGTGAGAAAACGAATGTTTAAACATCGATCTTGTTTTATGCTTTTTCAATGTTACTCTGGCAGTTTTTCGTTGGCAGCTCACGCAAATTTTGCAGAAATTTGAATTGCCACCAGAAACTAATCAAAACATAGTATTAGGCATCACAGAGTAGCTGCATAACTTCAAATTGTAATTTAAATAAAGATTTACAAAATTCAAGAAGGCACTGAGGAAAATCCTGTTGTGAACATGAGTATCCGCACTCACACTCAAAACACTCTAAGACTTTATCTTGAGACTTGAGGCTGTTCACGGCATCCTTCTTCAAAAAGAGTTTTTCAGGTAAATGATCTAAAAAGCAGCGTTCATTTCCTGTTTGCTCTCTTTTTTAGTCCAAACTCAGTGCTGGCCTTCTTTGTCTCAGTGTTCCTCTTCTTCCTCTGGCTGTGTGTGTCCAGGTGTGTCCGGAAGGCATGGAGACGCAATGGCCACAGGCGAATAAGTCGTCACAACAGACAGAGCCAGAGCAGCAATAAAGAAAAACACAAACACGAAAAAGAAGAAGGAAAAGAAGAAGGTGGAGAAGATGGCGCTGCAATCACCTTCTTCAACATAAGCCCTCAGTTCTCCCGCCAAACTGCATTGAACGTCCAACCCCCTCGGGATGGAAACTACTGCAATGGAACTCCTGATGTTTCTACCCCCCTTTCCCTCATGGTGGCAAATCACCAGCAGCTAACCGGCCGCCACCGACCGCTTTTATACGCAGGACGAGAACAGCACGTGCAGATATCAAACGAACTTCCTCTTTTCGCCCACTACTCTCCCAAAACATCTCCTGACATGGAAATGAATGGAAGCATAGCCTGGATTGTTCCGAATGCAACTGAAACTCATGCTGGCGATGCAATGATTCCACACGTTCACGACTTCCAAGCAGGTATCACTCATAATGACGTTACTTCTCCGAACGGATGCGACGAGTTGATTTCCTTGGCCGACGACGGCGCAGTACTATCCAGCTCTAGTGTCTCCCCAACTCTGAGTGGTTACTACTCGGCCTCCACCACTAGCAACCAGATGGGCTCGGATTTCTCACGAACCTACACTCCAAGCATGAACAAAAACGACTTGAAGTATAGTTTCCGGGTTCTGAGGATGGAAACTTCGGTGCCAGAAGATAACCCGCCTCACAATGAAGAGTGCCGCTTTGGCTCTCAAGTGTACAAGAAACGATCAGTTGAAGCGACTGTGTAGAATGAGAAACCGAGTTTCCAGCCCCTATTTACTCTAGTACTCCCTTTGTTCGTTTTCATCAATCGTGTAATTAAATTATGTTACCTTTCAAGATTATTTTTCTATTTCAGCTTGCAATCTCTCTTGTGAATAAAAATGCGGCTCTTGAGTGTAGTGGACTCACTACGGGATCAGCTGCTCAGATTGAACAGCTGGCAAAACTGTTTGAACCAGTCCATCAGAATGAGATGTAAGAACTAATTAGGGTTCATACATTGACATGTTAGAGTCTGATAGCTATACATCCATCGGAAATTGGTTCTCACTTGAACGAAACTCCATTTATTAAACAAGAATGAAAGCTCAACCTTCGTTAATAAAATATACCCGGGTTGAAGTTGCATTGCATTACAGACAGGTTTCATAAGTTTTTCAGGTTTTTGCATCCATCAGTCATTTATGTTGTAGAGCTACTTTAACGATGTTCATCCTTAAATCATTTATAAAACATATACGCAAACCACATAGATTATTCATTGATGATTCTTGACTGAAACATACATGAGTATATTATTTTGAGCAAGGAGGTTTTACGCAAGAAAGTTGTTAGTCAGAGCGTTGCATTAGGCAACAATCACTTCGGTGGAGTTGTTTACTTCTAATGTAAGTTTCAGGGGGATCCCTTTGAAAAATTAACAGTCAAGGGCTCCCGCGGTGTGAAAGAGTAGACTTCAGGAAACATTTCAGCATTATATTTATATGCATTTTAGATCAATAATTTTGAATCGTTTTGTAAAAAAAACTTTGGAGAACCAACTCGGAAAAACCAATTTGGAAAAACATTTGGCTTCAAGGCACTCTAATTTCAACTACTCCTGTACTTTCGTTCTACTCCAAACATCATCACGATGTATCAATTGAGAAGCGTAAGCTATAATCTTACCGCCACATTTTTGTTTCACCAAAATAATCAGATTACATCAATAGAACATTGCTGTTTCCTCGATGAAAGTAACTGATTTCCTGGGCTGAGTTCCTGTTGCATTTAGCGAGGGAAATTTGTAAAAGCAGTGATCGCCATCAATGAATTAGTGCTAAACATTTACCCAAATAGCAAATTTCAGAGCTGGAAAAAAACGAAAATTTTAGCGCTCTTGAGTGTAGTGGGCTCACTAGTGGATCAGCTGCTCAGATTGAGAAGCTGGCAAAAGTTTTCTTAACCAGCCTCCCAGAATATGATGTAAGAACTAGTTTACACTTAAGAACTATTTAACGGTGGGATCCTGGATTGAAATCCCATCATTACTTATCGCTTTTTCTGTAGTATCCCAGTGATCGCTATTTTTTAGCGCTGATTCACGTAGAATTCTGAGTTTTTTTTGCTAAACCTGCGATAGTTTAAAGCTATTTCAGTAATGATTCCGTAGAAACTCATTGATAAAACTTAAGAAAATTTAACTCATTCTACTAGCTTTCTAAAGATTGCGAGTTGATAAGCCCTTTAGCTTGATTATATCTATGACATAGTGGCCGTAACGTAGCATAAATTTTGAATATGAGCTGAAACCGGACTGAATTAGCTGGAACCTGATCTAAACTACATTTTATGATTGGATAAATTAGATATTTTACCACTGTAAAGTATTTAATATTAACCAATCATGATCCATCTAACTAACAACCCACTTATTTGTAAGTGCTGAAATTACTTGTAATTTCAGCACCAGAGAGATTTAAATTTAACTTAGAATTTAGTTGCCTCTCCAAAAGAACTTCAGCAGCCGCAATAAACCAGTATACCCTAGATCTATTGAGCCTAGCAGAGACTAGTTAAACAACCTGAGACTAGATAGTATAAGAGTAAGATTAGGATCGGTATTAGACTAAGAAGTTGCACGAATCTATCCGGCCGAAAATAAGATAGCGTGACGAGCAGACGGTGTACCCTATCCGAAATTACTCTATGAGTTAACCACATCGGTCCTAACTCATCTGGTGCGACCATAAGTCTCGAACAAGACCTTAATAGCTTAGAATTAACCAAAAATAGATTAGAATTTAGACAAAACATTTTTAAAATGTTATACGACGATAATTTAATCGAAATGTCTCTACGACTCAATAGATCAGAGCCAATATTCCGAACGATAACAGAACTACCCGGAATTGCAAGAAAACCTCGAACCAGAGACGACATACGACAAAGTAGAAACTTACCAAATAGTTATAAGATAGTACGGCAAAAGCCAACACAAACTTTTATATTTAGAATTTTATTAGCAATGAATTTAGATTTTCATTTGCAAACATAAAATCTTGAAGTCAATCTTCATAATCATTTCAGGCGCTAAACAAAACTATTAATATACAATAACGATTGATAAAAAGATCTCAGATCGTTTTCCTAAAATTCTGCAGTATTATATAAAACATGTTTGGAAAATATTTATTGAAAATCAAAATAAAAATTAGTAGCATGACAATAAACTGTTAGTAATTATAAAATCATCAGTTGTCCCAGCTTCATCACCTAAAACATAACAGCAATCATAAGCTCACTAATATCATTAAAACACTAAATCTTTTTTTAAAAAATAAATTTAAATCATTTTAAACTTAAATTCACTTAATCTTAAAATCAGATCATCAAGGCTTATCCTTGGATCTTAATTAATTTTCTATTCAATTAAATTTACAAAACTTGATCATCAAGGCCTATCCTTGGATCAAAAAGAACAATTTTCTCTCCCCCACCCACTTAGCTAGTGTCTAACGACCTCAAACGTCGATTCACTATCCAACCCCTTTCAAAAAACCCAAGACTAATAGAAATTTTTGAACAAAACTAATCATTCAAATTAGGATAAACAGTGAAGAACTTCGGTTATTCATCCTTCACTTGAACCCTCCTCTTACCAGACCCAGGATAAATCGTAGACTTAGTAAGTTTAAAATAGTATCTAACGAACTACTCGCGTTCTAATTATACCTGAACCTTGTGGATCGATTTACTATTCTCCAACCCTTGAACACAATCACTACCCTTAAGTAAGATTAAGTAAGTTAACACCTTAACTTATACTAGCCACGAGAAAGTAAAAAAATCATTCTTCGGAATCGATATACTTTTCTCTCCAACCCTGAACAAATAGACCCAGGTTAAGCTAACCAAAAAATCGTAAGGACTAACAATTTAAGAAAATAGAAATCATCTAACAACTTTTTGCATCCGTCATCCTAAACCTTATGTCATTTAAAAATCTAGGAAACAAACAAACAATCGTTTTACACAACTGTGAAATAGATAACAAAAAATACGACCTTGTAATCACACCACACACACAAACAGTTGGATATATCAGAACAAAACGACAAACACTAAAAAGGAAAATAATAACTAAACAAAGACAAATAACACGAAAAAGATTTTCCAAAAATAGAAACGCATTTTCAGAATCAGAAGCCAGCAATTTAGACGAACTTTATAAATTAAAAGAATTTATAGATAAAAATTGCCCCATTCACGATCAATTATATTTTTCCGACTCAGAAACAACTTCAAATTCATCAAAAAGAGGAAAAAGAAGAATAAAAAAGCAATATAAACACAAACCAGTACATTTATATAATTGGAATCAACCAATTAGACATATCGATAATTACCTATTAACAGTCATTAAACGAAAAAATGAGCCAAACACACACTCCAAGTGAAGATAGTCCAGATGATGACGATATCTACCCAATGATAGAGGACAGCATATACTTTGCAAGAATTTACTCCTAAATTTATTTGAACCCGGAATCAGCCCATGTAAAGCAGAGTTCCCAGATGTAAAGATCAAAAGACAAATTATTGATCACTATCTGAAAGATATATGTAATTTGACACAACAATACGGAATCTACACCATAGAATTCAGCTCACCAAACCCGAATCACCGCAAATATGTAATTCAAACAGACGACCTTGATTTAGAATTTTCAAAAGTATTCTCAGAATATATAAAAAGCATACAATATCATAACTCTTAAAGAGCAAACTCCATATTTACTAATGAAGTTTTTGCAATAATATATAGTTATATTTCAATATTAGAAAATGAAATCCCAATCCCAAATGTCTCACCGACAGAGACATCTAAACATATAAGGGTACGACATGAAATCACACTATTTTCAACTTTTCTGCATATAATTAAAGAAAATTTCACTAAAGATGATGTTTCACAACATACAAAACATGACTTACAAAAAATTTTGGCATGGTTTATAATAGATTATTTCACACATAATATAGATTTAATTTCACAAGCAAGAAAAAATTTCAGACCTCAAAATTCAAACGATGATACCGCCATCACAGAACAGTCAGACTACGTTTGGGACCCCGAATGGTCTCATTATGCATTTATAAATATCCCACAATCAATTGCAAGTCAAGCAATAAGTACAATATCTTATACAAGAGATTATGTAAGAGTAATACCATTATCCATTGATGCAACACCATTAAACTACAATACATTTTTACCCGATACGCGAAATAACAGTTTAAATTCGACCGTCATACACAATGAAAACCTTAAGGGAACTATGAACCTCACTCAACAAGATATTCAGACACCATCACACTTCATAAATGAAGAAATTGTCCAAACAACAACAACTACACAACAAAGTATTTCACCAATACGTCCAAATTTAACAACACCAAGAAATACAAACACTTCACTAGCACAGGTAACCTTACAATCAACCGTTAAACCTTCGGTTTATCCAAAATATTCACAAATGGATTATCAAACATATAGACCCATGACAATACCGTCAAAAACACGCAGAACGTTCACAAGAAACAATTTTGCGGAACACAATTATAATTACACACATTCATCAAAAACAAACTATCCCCCCCGAAAAAATAATAATAATCAGATAAGATCTCGATATTGGGATAACCCAATGGCAACAACCAATTCAGTAAATTTTCAAACTAATTCACATCCTCCACAGGATCGTAGTGAAAATTACCCATTCTTTCAACAGAATAAAAATAAAAAGCAAGCATCTCATCAAACGGATTATTTATCCTCTGACGATGATTATTTACAACCAGATATATTTGCACCATACACTCAAGAATATCGTGGACAAGGAGTGCAAAAACCGTATACATATCATAGAATTTTTTCTCCACACCCAACAGATACACAAAATCAACAACCAATGCAAATGCAAAACCCAATTAATACACAATCTTTTCAACCAATTCAGCCACAAAACCCAATGA